TATACATTCAATGTGTACAAGTCTTTGATCCAGGATACCTCTTTTATTTATTTCTTAGAAAGCTAAATTCCATTCTCTACTCTAGTGATTTCCTGAAGATGGGTTCATGGGAATAATATTCCCTTAGTTCTTGCATGTTCAACACTGTTTTCACATGATAAACTTGAAAGACCATTTGGCTAAATAGAAAAAAAACCCAAAAAAACCCTTTATCTCTCACTTTATTTTCTTTGGTAACTTTTGGGATTTCTTCCAATGATATTGAATGATTGATTCTGTTCTGCTGTGAATATTGTAGTGAAGAATTATAAGGCCAATCTCAGTATTTTCCTTTTGAAGTTGCTTATTGTTTCTCCTTGCATGCCCAAGAGTATTTATTATAATTAAATTCTAGTTCCTGTACTAGAATACATCTTGGTGGTGGTGATTCTGGGGCAATTTTACCTAGTAATTATTATGTCCTTGAAAAATGAAATTTCAAGTCTTCTTTCAGAATGTTTCTTTCTTTAATATTAAATATTATATTTAAATACTTAATCTTGTCCATTATTTATTTTTCTTCTTCAGGATCTCTAATTATGTATGTGTTAGATTACCTTTGCCTATCTTATCCATCTTACATGTTTTCTCTATTCCTGTTTATCTATTTCCATTTCATTTTGCTGGCCTTTCTCCTTTCTGCCCTCTTTCCCTTACTGTGTTTAACTGAGAGTGCATTTTACCTTGTAATTCTCCATATTTATTCCTAATTTGTAATGATTTTAATTTTTATTCCACTTCTCTCCTGAGTTTTGCCAGCTTTGGGTCATTAACTCCTGTTGTTTCATAAACCATCCCTAAATTCTTACATTTGTGCCTTGTAGTTCTCGTTCATAGAAGCAATTCCTTCATTGTGGCTTCATGAAAATTCATAGCAGAATGTTGGGACAAATTTTTCAACTTCTCCATGGCAACATTGTTACAGTGTGTTCTTCAACAATTGGTATTTTGCTGCCCTGTCTTTTTCTATATTATATTTGTATTGCTACTGTGCCTGTTCCTTTTTTATTACTCATAATTAACTGAGTTAATTTTTTTCTGAACTAGGTTTCAGGGAAAAGAAGAGGGCAAAATAGTCATCTGGGATTTACAAAGTTTCGGTCTTCTCTGCCACTAAAGAGATAGATAGCTTTTTGCAAATATCACTCTTCTGTTTAATCTTTGTGTAGCTCTCCATTACTTCTGACAGGGCCCGTCCGAGAGGGCTTTTGTCATCAGCCCTACTCACTTCAGTTCCCACACTGATTGCTAAAAATAAAATGCATATGATTGATAAATCAAGATGAGCAATTCACCTGCAGAAAGTATTTTTTCTTGGGTTTTGTGAGATTAGCCACAACTGAGTCCTCTTTATTTGCCCTTGCCATATTTCTTCCTTTCCTGCTTTGGCCGTTAGAGCCTAGTTTCAGTTACTGAACCCAGGAAAAGAGAATTTACTGTGAAACTCTCACTTTCACGAATTATATTTTTATTATGCTTTCTAAGATTTTATATGGTATTACTACTATGTGCTCTTCTCCCTCTTCTGAGACTTCTGGTTGATCTCAGTAGTTTTCACATCTTGTGCACACATTTTGAAAACTGCAGATTATCTACCTTCTGTTTTTACTGAAAACAGAATTTGCAGGTTTTTGTGGTTTTTGTTTTTTTGTTGTTGCTTTGTATATTCTTCAGAAGGGAACAGGAAATGTGCTGACTTTTGTCACTGTCTTCATTCCAGATTCTGTTCCTGTATTTAGCAGTACTAATCAAATGTATTGTACAGTACTTATACATATGTAATGTTTCAGAAGTCTCTGCAACCTCAAAGACATTTACTACTCTCTGATTTTCCCCTCTGATTTGAGCACATGTTAATTTTTAAAAAAGTTTAAGGATCATCAAATTTTCACTAGCCCAACAAAAATTATTTTTTTCCTTTTACTACAACAAATTTTATGTTTTTCCCTTAACGCTCTTGATCCTCTTTTCTTCAATAACTCATATAAGAACTGGCAATAAGCATAGCATAATAATCTGTATTCTTTTACTCATAATCTTATTAATGCCTATAATTTAATTAATAAATATTTCTTCTTTGGGCTTCAAATTTATCATGATTATAACATCTTTCTTAGTGATAAAGCACTGTTATTAGCTCATTCGACTCTAAGCTTCATGAGGGCACAGTTGCCAATTTTCTTCACTGTGGTATCCCCAGGACCTAACATAGTACCTGTCTGTAAAGGGTATTTATGAAACACGTGTTCAGTAAATAGAGGAATATTTCTGTTGCTAACCAATCTCTTGTCACCTGTGCAGAATTTGTTTAAAGAGGGTTTTCAATCTTTCTGATTTCAGAAAAATTTCAATGTGAGAATTTGTTTTCAACTAAGTAAATACAAAGGGTGTGTTGTGTCTGCTCGCTCACGAGCCATGAAAAAAACTCACGAGTCAGGTAGACATATAGAAGGAAGATTTATTAAAGTAAGAGAAGGGTTGGCTGGAAGTCTGCGGGAATCTACTGCAAATTACTGCTCTGTGTCTTCGTTTGGTCTCAAGTTTTATATTTTCTAATCAGGATGTAAATTTCTTCGGCCTGTAGTTGGGGGTAGGGGAAGGTGCGGTTAAGCTGGCTATTGCAACCTTTGCATATGTTATGTAGATTTAATTTGGAGCCAGGAGAGTGGATCCCATATAGATGCAAAATCTCTCTCAAGTCACAGGGCCAGCACTGTGCTGAAATAAATAAAAACATTGACCTGGTATGCATAGTAAATATACAGCAAGCAGAGCCAAAGAAAGCTTTCAAAAAGTCCCAAGCTAAATTACACTTATTAATTTGAGTTATACCAGAGATCCAAATCTCAAAATTAGAAGATTTAGTGCCACCATTACAATCCCCTGTCTTAACAGGGTGTTTAAAATGAAGCTTTTTATTTTATTTATATATTTGGCTTTCCATGTTGTAATGCCTAACACAGTTCAACACTATTGGAGATGTAGAAGGGAAAGAATGTTGTGGTAAAGGTAACAGAAAAGTTTTCACCCAGCCTGAGACTCTAAATTGAAATCCAGTTCCTCCAATAGGAGACCTAGAATGCCCTTCTATCTTTTATCACCCCATTGATTCTTATCTCTGGAATGCCAAATGGTTGGGGAGTGGGAGCTAGAACTCGTCTTTCTATGCTCTAAATGTCATCCCTTCTGTTGGCTTTAAGGCATTTTAGTTAGCATTCTTTTTCTTTACCTTTTTACAACCATAAAGTGAGAGTATGCAAATATTACTATTACAGTTTAATAATCAAGTATAGGAGGGAAATAGCAAAAATTCTCAAAGGCAGATCATCTTAAAGGAGGAGTAAGAAATATCCTAAACAGGAATGTGAAAAGGAAGATTCAGTGCTTTGTAACCACTCCCTGCCCAAGGAACCACCAGTATTTGAAAATTTTACTGCTCACGTCTATTAATACAGTCACAGCTGAGAAGACTTAGAGTCAAATGAGGCACAGGTCTTCACCAACCATGTTCTGTCTATGGTCTTCTTTGAAAGAAGAGCATATGGTGAATTTGCATGGTGCAACGCTAAGCATCTGGAGACCGTAACACATGCCTTTTAAATCTGAGGTGTTTTAGGAGAGTTTGAAATCTGTTCCCTTGATGGGGAGGTGCTTCTCTCATTCAGATTATCAGGCAGATGTGAAACCAGATTTTCCATTGGCAGATATACTCCACAGGAAAGATTCTAGCAAGTTGAGAATACCTAGACCATTGGGTAATACCTTATTACTAACAGTTTTTTGTTTTGTTTTTTTTTTTTCATGTAAATGTATATGGGAAGATCTAGAGGCTTTACATCAATATTTGGGTATGCTTTATTGCATTAAAAATGCTTCTCCATACTGCATTTACAACTGAGAGTGCACCTATTTTAATATGAGTACATTTGTTATATAAGACACACTTAGTTAAAGTAAAATGCCTAATTTATTTATTTTAAAGGTTAACATCCTTTTGGCTTTTAAAAAATGACTCTTAAGTAACTGAAAAAACTTCTAAAATAAAACACAAACAAGCACACACACGCGCACACACACAAACAAAATCAGAAACTCTTTCCCTCTAGTCTAGGGTAATCACAAAGAGTAATTTGACCACTTTATGTTATGTTATTTGAGGAGAGTTTTATTACTTGCTTATCCTAGTCATATATATCTATATATCTATATCTATATATAGATATATAGATATAGATATATATAATGCAAATAATCTATTTGCTCCCTGCCTACCCTCAACTATCAAGTAAAGATTATGAAACAAACAAAAAAATATGGTTCATGGAAATCAGTCAGTAGTGTCCTGATTATTTTATATTTACTGAAAACGTGGATTCACACCCTCTATCTTGTGAGTGTATAAGCGCTAAATGCAGTATTTATTTTCATGGGAGTCTGTAGTTCGCGAATAAATAAGACCGATTCACAGTCGAACAGAGCCAAGAAAATCCACAATAGGGTCCAATCCTAGAACTAGGGTGAAAAAAATAAAAAAAAGCTCTGCAATAAACAGATGGAGAAATATTTCTATTAAACGTGTTAAGTCATGTCCTGGTTTTCTAAGATGTTGGGAAACGGAAAGAGGAGAACCAAGACGGAAGATAATAGACTGCCCCCGTGCCCTTCACACTTACAACCTTCCTAGATAATCGAGAACAAAGTCCCAGGGAATCGGGTCATAGAAATTTTTTTTTTTTTTGCGTTTTTTGTTTTTGTTGTTGTTGTTTTTTACCTCGTTCGATGGGCCACCCGGGCGGCAAACAAACACTGCCACCGCTGCCCAGGCATCAGCTCCAAGGGGCAGGCGATGGTGGCCTGCATTGAGCTCTCCGCTGGCGCCTTTTGCCCCGACACTTTGTGCCAAAAGAGCGCCCAGGGAAGCAGACAGCAATAGGGGGACGGCACAGATGTCGTGGATGCACAATCATGATTGTAATTTGACCAGAAAGGGAACAGAAGGAGAGCAAGGGCCCGCAGATCCCCGGCCGCGAGCCGCCGCAATGGAGTGGTCGGCGGTGTGTGAGCGCACAGGTGCCTCAGGCCGGTGGCGCTGAGAGCTGTCGCGGCCACCTCATGGGCTCAGCAACCTCACCAGAGCGCAGAAGCCCCGGCTGCTGCCGAGCCAGGGTAACCCCAGCCTGAGCCTTGGGCGGAAGGGCCCAAGGAAAGGGCGCGAAGGGAGAGAGAGGGGACGGGAGGTGGGGGAGGGGGAGAGCGACCCATCACTTCATCAAGGATTTCTCCTCCCCGAGCTCTTCTGCTGGGAACCTTTGATGTGCTGGTGCGCGCCTCTCTCCCTCCCTCCTCTCCACTCTGGGTGATCGTCTCCCCTTCTCCCCACTCTCTCCTCCACCCCCATTTCTCTCCCCTCCCTCCTAACCGCGTGTCTCCTCCCCTCCTCCTCCTCCTCGCCTCCCTCCCCTCCAGCGGCAGCAGCAGTAGCCGCTTTAGCGGATCCGGAGATGGGCAGAGAGCGCGCGCGGCGCGGCAGCTTCGGGTTCACCGCCCTCCCCGCCGGCAGCTCCTTGCGCCCCCGCCGCCGCTACAGCCACCTCTGTGTCCCCCAGTTCCAGTCCCGCGCCTAGGACAGCGCCGCCGCCGCCGCCGCCGGGCCCTGCCTGCCGCCTGCGCCGCGCAGCCCTCGCGCGCGCCCGGATGGCGCTTCATCTCAGGACCGGTGAGTAGCTCGGGGAGCGCAGGGGGTCGGACGCAAGGCTAGGCGCGGAGGGAGCCTCTTTTGCTTTAGGAGGTACCCCAAACCACCTGCTGTGATCCCTCAACCTCCAGGCAGGTGGTCTCGGAGGGAGCTGCTTGGTGATCCCCGAGGGGTTGTTTGATTTCAACTCCACCTGCTGGCAACCTGAACCCCTCTCCCTCCCGGGCAGCCCTCGGTCCCGCCTCACTTTCCAGCCCTGGAGCTCCCACCCTAGCAGCGGCAGGGAATGGCCCCGACCCTCCCGTTACCCCAAACAGTGTCCTCTCTGTCCTCACGTTCCCCGCGTTTCCCCCTTCTGCTTTCCCGCTTCTGCCAGCCCGCAAACGCCCCCATCTGCCACTCTTCACCCGGTCTCACACTGACAAAGCCTCCTCCACAAAGTCCGCCCTAACCCACCTTCCCTCCTTTCCCAAAGCTTAGCTCGCGAGCCCCCGCTGTCCCGCCGTCTTCCTTCGCAGAGCAAATGGTCCTCCCAGTGAATTCTGACCTCATTCCCTCCACACGTTCGTGCCTCTCCAGCTCATCTGACAGTCATCTCAGGAAATTGACACAGACACACGGTGATCCTGGCTTGTGTACAGTTACTTTGTGTGTTTCTCAGCACCTGGGCTCTTTAGGGGATGATCAAGCGTGAAAAAAAGACAGACAAAAAAACAAACCCTTTGAGACTAAACTTTTTTGTTATGGTTGTTTTAAAAACGGTTGTTTTAAACAACCGTTTACATCGCTCCGATTCGTTGTGCTCATTTAGAGGCATCTTAGCCTCTAATATAACATGGGGACGCTGCTCACAAGGAACGCCCCTACATACCTGTTCTTCCGGAATCGATCTTGGTTCCAGGTTGAGAACCATGCACCTGACTGGGTGATGGAGCGCCCTCAGCAATAACACTATCAAAAGCTCAGTAACTCTTGAGGATAAGAAGCTTTTTCTTGAAGGAGATTAGAGTAGCACTAACCTCACCCTTCGAATTTGCAATAAGCCAAAAGCCTTTTTTTTTTTTTTCTTTTTTTTTTTTAGTTTTGGTGGCTAACAGAAACACATAGTAGGATCAGAAAAGGTACCTGCACTATCTAGGTGTTTCCAGTGTTTGTAGTATATCAGCACCCAAGATGGTCTTTCTGTAAAAGTTTTCTTTGGACAGCAGCCCTTTTCTTGTGAAACCACGTTTAACGTTTTAGTATTTCTGTTTGGCTTGAGAGAAAAAAGAGAGTTGTGTTCAGTGAATGAATATGAGCAAAGGAGATGAAGGAATGAGCACAGGGGGAGAGAATTTAAATACTAAAATTTGTATTCCTGATTCCCCATGTATTGAAATCTTAAAAACAAAACTATCCCCACACAATTTATAATTTAGTTTTTTAAAGGAGTGATGAAATGGAATTAACTTGAGCATGTTTTACTCTTGGCCCTTGGCCATAGGGCTTGCGTTCTAAGCAATGAAGAATATTCAGAAGTAAGTGTTGGAAACTTTACAAGGTGCCCCAATTGAGTATGTAGTGTGTGAATATAAATTTCCTGGTAATATTAATGTGATTTTAAAGAATTTTAAGGAAATTAGAATTAAATTGTCGTTCTTGCTCTCGAAGTTGATGGAGAGAGATGTATGCTTCCTCACCTTTAAAAGAGCAAATCTCTGCCTACACCAAAAATAGAGGGAAAGTTGAATGATTATCTAGAGAATTTGTCTAGTGAAGATTGCCTTAAAATCGTGCCTACTCCAACGTCAAGGTTTTTTTTTTTTTAATTTTGTGTTCAAACTGTATCCCTGTCTTTATTTTTCTTTTCCTTTGTAAACATAGGCAGGAATGTAGTGAGCAAGCCTCTGACGGGTGGGTGTAGGTAAATGTGGGCACTGCATATAAAGTCAGGAGGGGCTGTGAGTAATGACTTGATTGTTGGTTTTCTAAATTTGGAAATTTTAGTTAGCAAAATCAGTGCTTGACTAAGAAGAATATTCAAGACTAAGTATTTAAACTTACAATTACTGCAAATATTCACATTGGTCATATCAGGTGACTTGATAATAGGTAAGCTATGAACTGAATCAAAAGATCATTTAATTTTTTTTTCTCTAAATGCTCTTACACTTTGGATAACAGTTGAATGCTTATTATATGCAGTATGTCCAACAACAATGCATCTGTATTGGAAAACATACATCCCGGTTGAACAAAAGGGAAAGCAAAGAACAATGCTGACTGATCAATGATTGCCCATAATTGTGTAAATGACGACTTCAGGGCAATATCTACTCACATAATTATAATTAATGTCAAATTCTTTACAATGCCAGAAATGTCTCATCATTCCTTTTGTAAGGATGTATGCTTGTATCCATGCAATATTAAAATGGTCTATGAGAATGCAAGTAATTAATATGCCATAAATTATGCCAGGAATTTTTGTTAAGAACTGTTGGTGACCTGGAACTTAGAACTGCCTAAATTTAATGTCATTGTCATTATTAAGGCTATGCAGAAACAACTAAATATTACACTTGGGGAGACAAGGCATACGGATATTTGAATGGCATATCTTTGAATATCATTAACTTGGATCTTATAATGCTCATAACTGTATGCCACCTAGAGGATGGGATAGGTCTAAATTAAATGTTTACAGAGGTAAAGAGTAATTTAAAATTGTGGAAATGATATAGATAATTTAGATAATTTCAGCTATAGACTGTAATTAGTTGAATATTCCATGTGAAAGCATTTTTGGCTTGTGAGAGAGGTGAAGGGGGGTAGGCTGAGGAAGGGACATCAGGCAAGGAGGGAGCGAGAGAGAGAAAGGATAAAAACCTATGGATACTTGCTTAAATTCTTTACCCAAGTAAAGGTAACTAAATGCAGCTTCTATTACTTCGGTATTTGGAATAACAGCTGTTTTCCAACTTGAATTTTAAGAAATGTCTCCTTATTGACAGCCATAAAAATATAATTTTAAAAAATAAAGTGATGCATTCATTTTATTCAGTAAAATCCAGGGATTATAGGCAAACTATTTTATGTAAGCTAACTAGCCTAAATAAAATTCTAGACAAACTTAGAAACAAAACCTTGAAAGAAGGAAAACACACATTCTCACATAGTTTTATATAAAATTACAGTATTTGATAAAGAGCCAAGTGATTTACTGTCTTATGAAGGCAAGAAGATTCAGTGGAGGGATAACTACATATTTTCATAGTTTACTATATATTTCTCATACTTTCCTATTTACATTTGTGGATGTATTATTCATTTTTATTGATTTTTGCATTTGCATTTTTGTTTACAAATTTACAACAATTTGTATATTATAAAGTGCTTCAAATTTTATTAATTCAAAATAATCCTTAAATTGTATTTGTAAGTTTCAGACTATTACATAAATGTTTACAGATGGCTCTGTTTTCTATCTTTACTCGGAAGTAGAAGGAATATTACAAAAAGCATTCTCAAAGAGCAAATAAGCAAATTAATATTTTAAAACTAGCATGATGATTCAACCAAAGTTTTACAGTACTGCTGTCAAAGTGATACTCTCATAAGATCAACTCTCATGTACAATTGAAATTTCTACAGGAGAGAAACTTTTAGATTATCTGACTTTAACATGGGATTATGTGAAAATCATTTTTATTCACTTAGCTGCACATGGGATGCTTGGCATTCTTAATAGAAGAAATCACAGAGTTTAGACATTAATTAGAGGATGTAGAGGACATTCTATTTCCATCACTTTTAATAACTTACCCAAGGTTCTTAAGTAATTAATAGAAATAATTAGAATCCAGGTCTCCAACTCCATGCTACATATCTTTCTATAAAGTAAATATCAGTTTTCCCCCTTATTTCAAGAAGGTAATAAAGGAGAAATCTGTTTGGATATTAAAGAAAAATGAAAATGAAATGAAATAAAAACCTGTGCCTTCCTCAGAGAGGTCTTGTAACCATCATAGTTGAAAGTAATGTTTTACTGCTCACTCTTTCCCAATTTACTCAACACTTGGGAAATATTTTTAAAATTTAACTGTCATTGTTCACCCCAAAATCCTTAAATATTTTTTGCTTAATGTTTTATTATAAATGCTCAGTCATATGCTATCAGTTTCTTTCATGGTAACTATATTATGGACACTTCCATTTTTACTTTTAATAGATAGTTCATTAGAAAATAGTCCTAAAAACAGATTTTGGTTTCTGTAAGCAAAACAGGAAATAAACGTATAGTTTTATCTCTATGCATATTTAGCCTTTTTGTCACCACAGAGAAAGTTTGTATATCCATGTATTTTGTGGGGTTTTTTGTCACCATAGTCTGCAAATACATCAATGGTCAGGGAAGATAAATTTGTTTCACAAATTTCCAAGTCCACAATTAAAAATCCTGGCACTTTTAGCTTTCTCTTCACCAATGTCCAGCCAGATGAGTTAAAGTAAATGACTAAATCAATGGGGAACAACCGTCATTACTGGGAAAAAAAAACCAAAAAAAACCTTTCAAATACATTCTTGGTGATGAGGGCTCATCAGTGTGATCTCACCTAGAAATCTGAGTAACATCGTAATATAGGTTGATATCTATGTGGAAGAGTATGGCATCACTTGTTTAACTGCATTGTTTGTGCCTGGGTTGATGGGAGTTAGGGGACTCTGTGATCTTGGACTGCTGGGTGGCTGCTTTAAAAGCAGAAAAGGAAACTTTGTTTTAGGAAATGGCCTTCTTTAAACCAATTAAGATGCAGACTTAACTGAAAGGAGAAATCTATTGTACATCTCTAAGGCCTCCATAACCTAATTTCTTTGGAGTCTAATTCAGCCTCCACTTATTAGGGCCTACTACCTGGCAAGAACTGAAGTGGTAACTACAGACACGAGAATGAATATGATATAGGTCCTGACTTCAATCAGCTTCCAGTATAACTGGACAGACAGATAAGAATAAACATCTGGCTTTAATCCAGGGCAGC